AGCCCACGGAGCAGGGCCGGGGCTGCGGCTTCGTGTTCGGGGCGACCTGCTGCTGCCGCCTGTTCCTGGGCTGCGCCTTCTTCTCCTACTGGGGCGGCCGCACCAGGCGAAGAGGCCGGGGGCGCCCCGGGGCCACGGGGGCCTCCGGCCCGGGCCAGGGGGCCCGGCGCCGGGGGCGCGATGAGAGGCTCATCTAGCGCGCCCCCTCGCCCCCCGCCCCCGCCACCAGACCCCGCCATCCATGTGCAGTGTGGAGTGTTACTCAGTGTTCGTGTGTGTGTGGACACATTTTCCTTTTCGGTTGCTCTGTCCTTTGGTTCGTGCTCGCCTCGCTTTTTCCACGCTCCCTGCTCTCGGGCTCTCTCTGCGACTCTCTCTTCTCTTCGAAAATTTTCCGAAGTCCGGGCTCGGGCTCGCGCTCCCTCCCCTTCCGCCCACCCCGGCCCCTCGGTGGCGCCCGCGGGAGGGGGGGCGGCGGCCTCGGGGGCCGCTGGGCGACGCGGCCCGGGGGGTGGAGCGTTGGCGTCGCGCGAGGGGTCGTCCCTGGCTCGGAGCCGCCCCCTCCCCCCCCCTCGCAGCCAGCCGGGCTGGGGCCCGAGCCAGGGGGGCGAGGGGGCGGCGCCCCAGCCCGTCCCCGTCCCGTTCCGGGCCGGGTGCGGGCGGAGGGACCCCCCTTCCCGGGCACCCGGGGGGCGCCTCCCTCCGCCAGCTCCCGCCCTCCCCGCCGCCGCGGCCGCTCCTCATCCCTCCTCCTCCTCCTTCCACCCCCCTCGCCGCCGCCGCCTCCTCCTCCCCCCGCTCCCCCCGCCCGCCGGGGCCCTTTTGGGTAGGGGCGGCGGGCCCGGGCCGAGGCAATAAGAGCGGCGGCGGCGGCAGCGCGGCAGCAGCGCCCGCAGCTCTTGCTCCGGTCCGCCTCGGCCCCGCGCGGCCAGCAGCCCCTTCGGCTCCGGCTCAAGGGGCGGGCAGCGCGCTCCCTCGCCCTACCGCCACCTCCCGCCCCGTGCGGCCCGCAGTCCGCCCCGCGCTCCTCCCCGAGGAGCCGAGCCCGCGCCCGGCCCGCCCGCCCGGCGCTGCCCCGGCCCTCCCGGCCCGCGTGAGGCCGCCCGCGCCCGCCCGCCCGCCGCCGCCGCCGCAGCCCGGCCGCGCCCCGCGCCCGCCGCCGCCGCCATGGGCTGTCTCGGAAACAGTAAGACCGAGGACCAGCGCAACGAGGAGAAGGCGCAGCGCGAGGCCAACAAAAAGATCGAGAAGCAGCTGCAGAAGGACAAGCAGGTCTACCGGGCCACGCACCGCCTGCTGCTGCTGGGTAAGGGCGGGGCGGGGGGCGCCGGCCCCGGCCCGGCCTGGCGGCCCGGAGGGGCGCCCGCAGGCCGCGCGCGCCGAGCCCGCCCCCCGCCCCGGGCGCGCGCTCCCGAGCCCGCTGCCCGCTCTCGGGCTCTGTCTCCGGGGGGCGAGGCCGGAAGGGGGACCCTGGGGCGCGGATTCGGCTGGGCGAGGGCTCAAAAAGGGGCGGGGGGCCGCGGCGGTGCGGGCGCGGGGTCCCCTTGCCCGGCTGGCGCTCTCCCCCTCTCTTTCTCTTTCCCGCCCTCCTCCCTCGCTCTTTTCCTTGCTCTCTCTTTCCGCGAGGCCTACACGACGCCAGGGTCTCGGGTGCTTGTTGGGGAGGGGGAGGGGGAGCCCCGCCGGGCCCTGGAGACTGCGACAAAAAGAGGGTTTCGGGGACAGGAAATGGGGTGGCGGGCAGAGGGAGGGGGACCCGCCTCCGTGGGGTGTGTGATTTGTTCGGAGAGGGAAAGAAAGAGGGGCCAGGGTGGAGGGGTGACGCGGGGGGGGCGCCGCGGTGGCCGAGGGGGCCTCGCCAAGGGGAGACTCTGGCGGGGGAAGTGGCCGAGGAGTGGGGGACGGGTGACATCAGCCCCTCGGAAGGGATCGGAGTGGTAAAGGTGGTGCAGCAAGGGGGAGGGGGCGCGGGCAAGTCGTGGCGCCGGAGTGGGGGGTGGGGAGCAGGGCGCGCGCCGCCGCTGGGCGCGACTCGGTGCGTTTCGGCTGGACAGATTGTGTGCGCGGAGCAGACGTGTCCCGGGCTGGGCCGGCGGTGGAAGGAAGGGAAGGAGAATCAAATAAAATAAAACCAAAAAAAAAAAAAAATGGAGTTAGTACGCTGAGTGCCCAGTGAAGCCAAATGACACGTCATTTTTACAGTATGACCTTTTTTTCCCCTTCCAGACATGCAGGCTTTTTGAAAAGCAAAGAAGAGAATTAATTGTAGCAGCTGCCCTCCCCACCCCCCGCAGCAGCGCCCCCCGTAAACCATTAACACACACATTTTCCTGTTAGTTGGCCACATTGCGAGTGCTTTGTGGAAAAGGGGGGGAAAGACATTCACAAATCAGAACTGGAAAATGACATTGGTCCGTAAATGGCTTCTTGATCTGGAAATGGCGTTTTTTTGTCCTTTTCGGTGGGGGGGGGGGGAAGAAGACTTTTATTCCAGGTGGAAGGAGATGAAAAGACGTTAATTAGTTGTTTGTTGAGTGACATTTGGTTGGTCCTGGGTTTTCTCTTTGGATTGCGGTTTTTACTCTGGCCAAAAAAAAAAAGGGGGGGGGCGTGTGAACTATAAGGAGATGACCTCTCCTTTTTCCTCAAAGTGCTGCCCTGGGGAAAATAAAATAAAATAAAACAAAAGCCTGAAAGACATTGTTGAGATGACCAGAAGAATTACCCAGCACTAATTAGTGTGGAAGTTTCCCGCTTCCTTAGTAATTTGGCCATCTGAGTTAATTGGTGAATTTGCTAGGTTAGCACCTAGTTCATGGTCACATTTCAAACAAAACAGCCTAATTATGAAGAATAAAACGTAAAAGCGGGCTTTTCTTTGTGGTGGTGTTTGGTTTGCATTTTTTTTTTTTGAATGGGTCATGTCTTTGTTCTCCTGGGTTCAAATTTCTGTAAAGCTGAAAATTATTAAGTGAAAATAATAAGTCTCTTTGGTGTTTATGCATTTGCAGTTTCAATAAATTAAATGATACATATGTTGCGAATCTCATCTCAAACTTCTAAAGGTAGGATTACACTATGTGAATAATATGCATATAATTTTGATTTCAAAGCACAAGCCTGGAAAAGTCTAGAATCCTTTCCCTGAGGAATGCTGTCTTGTTAGCTGAATGCTAATTTAAGACCCGTGCCATGCTGGCTGGCAGGACCTTAAATTTCTGACACCTTTGTGTGGTAATCACCAAGTCTCCACTTAATCTGATTCTGTTACTTTGGCCACACCTGGTCTTGCTCTGGGTCACCTTCCCCAGGTGTCCTGGTCTCTGTGGCTACTTTCCTCCACAGTTTAGTGGTAGTCTTTGGTACAGGTGTGTGCAGCCCAAGCCAGCGCAATGCATTTGGCATGTTTTAAATGGCAATTCTCACCAAATAAGGCCCCCCCCCAAAAAAAAGAGGTAACAATGATGCCCCAAACCCTGTATTTAACCTATCTTAATTTAATGACAGGAGAATCGGGTGAATGGCAGCACCACACAAGGGCCTGCAGCCATGTCTCAGCTTGGTTCTCCAGTTTCACACGCGTGGGAAACCGAGGCACGGGTCTGTGTGTGCCCGCAAAGGAGGGGCTGCGCGCCCCGACGCCTCTGGCATGGGACTAGTGGGGGTCCTGATGAATAATTCTGCTTTCTCTTCATGGAATCCCCTACGAGTGCCTTTAATATTTTAATTTATGAGAGGCTCATTAAGATACAGTGTGTTTGCTTTGAAATCAATGTTTCTGTGGAAACAGATTTTAACTTTTCCAGGTGTTGCTCTCAGCCTCGTGAACGGCAAGGGAAGGAGGGATGCTTTGCTCTCTGGGAAGTAAAACAATTAAGAAAATTAAAAATGAAAAGGGGGGGTTAAGAAACAGGCTTGTGGGGGGCAAAATATGGTGCAGACAACTATTTGTGGGAGAGTGCACTTACAAAAAAAGGGGGGGTTAGCAATCCTCCTTCCAGCTTGGAAATGTGGTTCTTCGGTGTTTTTTACAAATGTAGGGTGATTTAGAATGGGGGTACGTGTCCCTTCTTACTTGAAAAGTTGAGAAGGGCTTGAAGTCTTTGAAAACACAGTGGTTTCCAGGAATGTTTTTCCTTCTGACGAAAGTCTGGTCCTTTTTAACTCTCCTTACAGTCGCCGCATGTTTATGTGACTGTTTGCAAACGCGCTATTCGATATTAAAAGGTGTTTTTCCAGAAGAGGACGGAGCTGGTGGTCTTCCACGCCACCATCACCCCCCCTCCCCCCGACACAGCTGTTGAATCCAGGGCGACTGTGTGTTTGGGACGATGGAGTTTGCGGGGGAAGGAGGGTGGACAGTGGGGTGCGGTGCCATGTTGTGGCTTGAGGGGCCAGTTTCCCAGTGGCCCCACGGGGACAGCAGCCCGCCCAGAAAGCCACCGCGGCGGGCCGGCGCCGGGGAGGCTGCGTCAGGGCCGCTCTGCAGTCTGCAGTATCTGGGCGCCGGTCCTGGGTCCGGGCTGTGCGGCTGGACACACCTGGCCGGCTGTGACCGGCGGCCCCGTGCATGCACGTGCCGGGGGTCCCGAGGGTCCAGTCGCACGGCTGGAACTTCACTGGTGTCGCCACCCCCCAAAATTTGACATTGCGTCATTCCTTCCCCCCCCACCCCTGCTTGCTTTCCCGCTCCACAAATTTTAAAACAACCAAAAAAAAAAAGAAACCCCACCCTAAAAACAGCAAAACCTTTCATTCTTGTTTGTTACACTGATGGTGAAATACTGCAGGGGTACAGAGCTGGACATCTATTTCACGTTTGAGGCGTCGAAATGTCAAGCAAAATTGCAAGTCTGTTCTTTTGTTTGTGTGTGTGTGTGTGTGTGTGTGTCCGTCTGTTCCTGTTGCCCGTGGCCTCAGTGGAAGGCACAGCAGCCCTCTGGCTGCCCAGAGCTCGCCAAACGGCCCCTCATAACCTGAGCCTTGCTTTCATTTTCTAGGTGCGGGAGAGTCTGGTAAAAGCACCATTGTGAAGCAAATGAGGATCCTGCATGTTAATGGGTTTAATGGAGAGTAAGTGTCAAAGCCGGGCCAGGCCAGGGCCAGGAGCACACGTGACCCTGACCTTTAGGGAGTTCAGGTAGCTCGGGGGACTGGGCAACCAATGTGCACGTAAGTTTTCAGAAACTGCATGTTAGAAAATCTGGGGAGAGCTCTTCAGGGATTCACCCCCCCTCCCTTTTGTTAGTGTTCAGTGCAGCAACAAATAATCATAGCAATAATAGTAACGCACCAGCCTTGCATAAAACAGACAAAAACGAAAAAACAACCTGCCCTGTCCCAGGAAAACGGAGCCTGAGGGTCCCCCGCACAGGTCTGCAGCAGACCTGGTGCCGTGGGCCCTCAGCATGGCGGCGGCCGCCGGCAGGGGCCGCCCCCTCGGTCAGGCGACACTGGCCACGGCAAAGAGGGGTGCCCCCCCCCCCCGCAGATTTCAGCGCAATGCGCCAAAGCAGGATGTTCTAAACTATCAGGGAAACATTGTTTCAATAATGTTCTCACACAAAACAAAGTTGGAAGAGGCAGCCCTTGTTAATAATTCCTCGTCCCCCACCTTTGGAATTCATATTGTGGGTCCATGGTCGTTTCCCTTTTTAGAAATCAGTAGCCCCGGGCCCGAGAGGGGGCCTTGACTTTGACGTGGGGAGAGGCTGGGAGTTCGGCACTGCCGGGCTGAGGGGCTCTTTTGCCTTTGAAATGCCCTTCCAGACTCCTTGGGGTAGGACGATGGGACAGGGAGAATGCGGATGAAAGGAGACCACCAGAGACACGGCCTGGACTCTGTTTTCCTGGTGTGAGAGCAGAGGACCCCCCCCATGAGCAGCCCGGAGGGGCGCTGGTGTGCCGTTCCTAACTGCTCGGCCCTGGCGCCCCCCCCCCCAGCCGGGGCTCCAGTGAGAGCGGAGCCCTCGGTGGCTCCCTGTTCAGGCCCAGAGGGGGAGACCGAGTCACGGTGGTGTAGTTGAATCCAGGCACTGCCCCCCCACCAACCAGGCATAAAAAAAGTCCTTACTGTCCCCTGAGCACCAGGGAAACAAAGAGTGGGGGGTTTTCACCTTTCGGATGTTAAACAACTGACTGAAGGCAGCCCTTTATGGAAAATTCTAGAATTTCTTAGACCAAATAATGGGGTGGGGGATAAGAAAAGGGTGACGTCATGCAAATGGACATTTTAGTTTAGGGTGCCTCTGAGGCCTTCCCCGGGAAATCAGGGGGATCGGCCACGGCACTGATTTCACGGCCGACCCCCAGCGAGTTGTCAGTACGCACGCCCACCCCAACCCACCACCCACCCACCCCCATGCTGCCCATTCAACAAGTCGCCTTCAGTGGCCAGAGAGCGATTCTCAAAGTCTGAGCTCCCCACGCGGCCCTCGGGGGGTCCTGCCACCAGAGGTGGTCCTCGGTCAATAAACCAAAACCTGCCACAGACTCCTCTCGCTGTGCGGACGCGTGCCCTCAGGAGAGACCTCTTGCATCGTGCCCCCACCCCGGCCACCGCGCGGGCACTGCTTCTTCACCGTGCTAATTAAGCAAAACTAATTTGGCCGCGTCCCCTGTAGATAAATATTTTGGTTGAAACTGGACCTGGCCAGCGTTTTTAAAGGGTGCAGTGCCCCTGTTTACCTTGGTTCGAGCCCGGGGGGGGGGCGGGCGGGGGGCAGCCCGTGCCACGGCCGACTGCAGAGGTTTGCTGCCCTGCCCACGGCCCTGCTTTTCTTAATTGTTGAGAGAAAGGATTCCCCTCCCTGAGCCAGCCAGTCTGTATTGCAGACCCGGCGTTGAAAGCAGAACTTCTTTTCGATTTTCCCTTTTGAAAAAAAAAGAGGAAGCGCCTGTCCCAAGTTCGCCTGCTTGGTGGAGGAAGCCATAGGTGTCGGCTCCCGGGGCGTTATATTTAGCCTGGGAAAGTGAGACACGGGACTCCTCCTCAGGGTGCGTCTGGAAGCCGTGTTTGTGCCGTGGCCCACAGGCCTCCTTTTTTCTCCCTCCGCACTGTGGCAGGGCGGCAGACACGGCTTCCTCCGTGCCTAGGAATTCCCGAGGAAACCGGGCCCGAAAGGGGTGGGGTCCTTCCCTCCTCCCGCAAGCGTGCGCTGCTTTAGTGCTGGGCTGAGCTCTCCGACCTGCCTTAACTCCCCGCTGGTGACCTGTGTAGAGTGACTCGGAATTCTAATCTGACTTTCAGAAACAGAGGTCAAATTCGGATTCCCCTAACCCGTAGCTAACGCTCTTCCTTCCGTTGAGTGCCACAAACAAACATCGCTATTAACCCCGGCCGAGCTAATCAGCGGCTGCGAGAGCAGCCAGACAGCGTAGCCACGTCGCCCTTGCGACCTCCAAGGGGCGGGGGGCACCCACTGTGTGTGAAGACTGGGTTCTGAGAGGTAGTTTTTTTTTTGTTTGGTTTGGTTTTCCGAGTCCAGACATGGTTTTAATTGGTGAGAATTTGTGGGGAACAATTACGTATCCATAAAAGCATTTTATATAGTTTTCCAGACTGCAGGAAGGGAGGCCCTCGCCTGGCACCAGATGTCGCGGGCGAGCGCGGCCCGAGTCCGGGCTCCGAGCCTTCGCGTGCTCGGAGCCCGCGCCGGGGACTGAGGTCTGGGACGCAGGGAGCCTTCCTCGGGGCCGCTGTATCCTCAGGAGAATTGTGAGACAAAGCACTGCCCCGGCTCCCTGGTGCACCTACATTTAGCGCAAGCACAGGAAAATAATTATCAGTCCCTTCTGTCCCCGGCCGGGCGTCTCCCGAGGGCTCAGCTAATCTGCAGCCGGGGTGTGGAATCCTGCCCGCCACGGCCCGCAGCCGCAGGAGACGGTCCCCGTGGGCCGGGAAGGCGACCTCAGAACTAACGGGGTGGCGGACAGCGGCCCTCGGCTAGGAATGCAGAGAGGTGGGGTGGGGATTTGGTGACCTTGCCGTGCCTTGCAGATTAGGTGAGCTTTCAATCTCTCTTTAAAAGGGGCGGCGAAGAGGACCCGCAGGCTGCCAGGAGCAACAGCGAAGGGTAGGCACACTCAAAACCAGAAAAAAAAAAACTTTTTAAAACAGACAGCCAGACATGAAGGCCATGCTGGGAGACTGAGGGCAGAGCCCCGGGAGGAAAGCAAGAATCACTTAGGGGCCATCCTCCATCTTGGTACACGTGTGCAAAGGGTGCATAAACAATTCCGTAACATCTCACAGCACGTGCCCGTGTAAAACTTTTTTTTTTTGGCCATCCTTAAAGTATAATTAGATGCAGCTGAGGGGGGAGTTATAGCTCTCAGCGTTAGACAATCAGTTGAAGATTTGGAGAACTGCTGTTTCTCCTTAAGGTTCCTGCCCCCGGCGGGCCTCCCCTCCCCCCCCCCCCCCCACCCCCCAGCTCCACGAGAAGCTGCTCCTGGTTTTTTGAAACTATCTACTAAAGTCCATCCACCCGTCGGGTGCTCTGATTTTAAAACTTCAAGCTTCTGGGACGAGTTTTCCTCCCCTGAAACTCGCGGTGCCCCAGCACCCTTACATTGGGGGGGGGGTGCCAAATGCTGGGCACCTTGGCTAGAGGCGCGTCATTGTTAACGGATGATCTCCAGAAGCTTCTGGCCTTTTAAAAGTTATCAAATTAACTTGAGTCCAAGGCACCGTAGTTAGCTAGTGGACAGGAAATGGGCGATGGCATCCACCTTTTTTTTCTTTTTTTTCCATTCATTATCGAGTTAATTGTTTTTCTTCACTCCCGCATCCCCACCACCCATCACACGCCAACACACACACGTGCATGCCAGGGGGCCGCTCACGCTGCGCCTGCGCATTCAGCATGCTGTCGTGGGGCAGCCGTTTCTCATGAGACCATGCAGGGCCATCCCCCCGGGCCTGGGCAGCGTGGAAGGGATAGCTCCCGAGGCCGGGAGGGGCGGGGCCAAGGAGACCCGGGGCGGGACGAAGTAACTGACACATGTCTGTTCATCTGTTTCTTTTAGAGTATTTAATTCCTAGATGGTGGCTTCCCGTTCCTCTCCTTCCCGGCTATGCCCCACCACCCTTTGCATGCTGGAACTGCTAATCAGAACACTGTTCTGTGGGGGGGGGGGGGGAGGGGCCCTACTACCTAACCTCTATAGAGATAAGTGAAAAAAAAAAACACAAAAATACCAAAAAAAGCAAAAAAAAATCACAAAAATCAAACAAAAAAAATGGAATGAAATACTTAATTATCCAAAATGTAGTGTAACTCCCCAAGCAGGCATCTGCCTAGCCAGTGACCGATGGTCTGTGTACTGTACCAGAAGTTGGCATCCAGACAGAGTGGCCAGGCCTTCCCCAACAGCCCACCGCGCGCTAGACGCTGCGCTCACCCCCGACCCTACTACTGACTAACCTGCCTGCTCTTCTCTGTGACTTGTGCACTAAATCTCAGTATTAACACGTGTGATTAATAAAACTTCTCTGCATGTCTCAGCAGTCCCTGTCTGTCTCTCTGTCTTTCTTCTTTTGTCTGTCTTTTCCTATAAAACCACGAAGGTAGCCAACGGAAGGACATCCCCACAACCACTGGGGGGGCGGGGCTTTTGGGATTCGAACCGAGTTCCTCCGCTGCTTTAAGCACAGTGGGCGGAGCTCCAATGCCCTGAAAGTACTCAGGCCCCAACTTTTTTGGTCCCTTAGAATTCTAGCCCCCCGGTACACATTTGGGCCTGACACCTGAGGGACTTCGCCCCGAGTCGGCCAGCCAGCCAGCGCCGGGTTCCCCGGGTGGCAGTGGGGACGACAGGAGCCCGCCCGCCCCGCGGTGGGACGCCGCCATCCACGACCCACAGCGAGCGCTCCCGCGGCAGGGCTCCGCGTTGGGAGTGTTACACACCCGAATTAGATTTCGGATTTCCTGTTTTAGCGGTTTTATACTTGATACACTCCCACACCTACTCACATACGTAGATGAATACTGAACACGTTCTCAAAATATCCGCATTTAAGACGGGAGCGTTTCCAATTACCATACTACTACTTAGACCCGAAAACCAGGCTGAGTGAGGGAACCTGGTGTCTCGGGATCCGTTTCTCCGCGCTGCAGGTCCGGCTGCAGGTCCGGCTGCAGGTCCGGCTGGGTGCCTAGTGCCCAGGTGCAGCTCGTTCTCATTACTGCGGGGCCTTAAAGCCAGAGAAGGGTCTGGGCGCTCCTCTCCCTGGGAATGGAGCCTGTTTTTAGTGAGTGGGGGTCTCCTGTGAGTTTGAGCCCCTAGGTAAACTTCAGGGCCCCTCAGGCGCGCGTGCTTTTAAAACGCTGACATGCGCAGGCCTGATGTTAGGTGCAGCCCCACGTCTGGACGTCCGTCCTGATCGCTGGGCGGAGCTGCAAGCTTGCACCGCCCCCCAGGGGTCCGGGTCCAGCGGCAGAGCAGCTGGGTGGTTCCTCCCTCCTGGCTGCCCCCACCCCTTGCCCCATCTGCCCCTCCGGTCCCCAGGGCGCAGCAGTCTCGCTTAGCACAGCCACGAGGGGATACCTAGGCCGATCTGGGCTGCCCCCAGCTGCTGAGAGCAGCCCCCACCCCCGGGGAAGGAGCAGGGTCCCGAGGCCAGTGGAACAGAAGAGGCTGCACCTGGCAAGGGCGCCTGGAGCCCCTTCAAGAGGCGAGGGCCCACCCCTCACACACGCAGGCCTTGATCTCAGAAGACGAGACCCCAGGGGAGGGCTCTGATGGGGGATCAGAAATGGGAAAGACCAGGTTCTCTGGGGGGTCAGGACTGTGGGCAGGCGGGCACCAGGGCCCCTCCTCACCCCACTAACACTCAGGCTGTGGCTGCTCCTCTTAACTCCCCACCCCAACGCACATCTCCTCTATTAACCCTCTGTCAGTCCTCTCTCAACCTTCTGTCCTCTTCGGAGGGTCCCTGCCTCCAGCCCCTGACCCCAGGTGAATGCTCCTGAACTGGGGAGTCTGCAGAGACTCCTTTAAAAATGACAAGAGGAAGACGGGCTCTCTGTCCCTCTGCTTGTGACTCCCGCGTTCCCAGGGCCTCAGTTTCCTTCTTAGTGCCACGCCCCAGGGCCTGGCGCACAGTTGGTGCCCTTCCACTACATGAGCAGGCCCTGCAGAAGGTCCCGGGGGAGGGAGCAGTGGGTGTCACCAAGGTCCGTGCCCCAAGCCAGGGGTCCCTTCTCACCCCTGAAAACCCCAGCTGAGGCGTCTCCGGCACACCCGCAGACCTGTCCTCAAATGAAGGACAGCTGTGGGGGGGCACGCAGTAGTTCAATGGACATAGTGGGGTGCCGACATCCTGGCCGGGGGGGGGGGGCGGGGAGGGCCCAGAAGTCCCAGGGTGTGGCCTCCACTAGTGCCCGTGACCATTCCACACAGGCCGTCCTCCAGGTCCACCTCGAGGTCAAGACTTTAAAGCAGCACAGCCTCTGACCTCCGCTCCAAGAGCATCCCCCTGGGCACGCGAGTCCCAGATCATCCAGACTCCTTGGGGGCAGGGGCGCGTCCCTGTGCCCCTAGAGGGGACCCTGTGCACTCACAGCCCGCCGCAGTGGCTGTCCAAATAAGGAAACAAACACAAAGAACCCGCCAGGACAGCCTGCCACCCCACTAACCCTAACCTGCAGCCCACTAACCCACTGGCCCAGTGGGGCCCTTCCCCCCTCCCCTGCCCACAGTGATGCCCCTCCCCCACCCACCCCAACAGAGGCTGATGACACCTAGGGAGTGGGGTGCCGCGGGGGCTGGACGCCCACGGGACCACCGCGGAGGGAGTGACAGGGCAGGGCCCAACTTCTGGTACAGTATAGCGGCCTCGGTCCAGATGCCAACCCGCCAGGCGGCCCCCGTGCGGGGCGGAACCGGGCGGTGGTCATTTCGAGCCACCTGGGTTCCGGACCTGCAGTGCCCCCGTCTGAGCCCGCCACCGCTCCCTCGGGAACAGAGCACTATGCTTAGTCGGAACAGCATGACCAAAGCGACCCCATTCGTGCACGGGATGCCATATGATTGTTCTCCTCTTCGCTCCCACTGTAGTGAGAAGGCCACCAAGGTGCAGGACATCAAAAACAACCTGAAGGAGGCCATCGAAGTACGTGCGCGCGTTTGTTCTCGCTCCGCGGCCCCCACCCCCCCCCCACCCGCCCCAGCAAGCAGGCAGAGAGAGCAGAGCGGCCCCTCACCCCCGCCCCCCGAATCTCTTTCAGACCATCGTGGCCGCCATGAGCAGCCTGGTGCCCCCGGTGGAGCTGGCCAACCCCGAGAACCAGTTCCGCGTGGACTACATTCTGAGCGTGATGAACGTGCCCGACTTCGATTTCCCTCCCGTAAGCAGAGCCCTGGCGTGGTTGTCGAGCCCCCCCACCCCCCACCCCGGGGTAGCTGGCACGCTTCATCACAGCCACACCGGTGTGCGCGCCACGCCTGTGTCCCGCAACACACCACGCAGCTCAGGGGTGGCACCCTCGCTGCTCCCACCCAGACGCAACCCCGGCTAATCGGCATGGCCCGGCTCAAGGTGGACGAGCAAAACTCGGCCCCCGGAGAGAAAAGGCCATGAGATCTGGGCCCCCGCCCCCCCGTAATTGCCCCCCCGTAGGCGTCTTGTGACAAACGACAGTGTGTTAAACACGGCACACGAACCCTGATGTCCCGTTAACTGAGTACCCTAAACCCCCCGGGGCACCCCGTGGCAGCCCTGAGTGTGCTTATGTGGCCGGCATCGGGGACCAGAAGCGTGGCCCCCCGAGCCCACCTGGCCGCGTGGGTGCGGCCCGCCCCTGACGCCCTCTCCGCCCCGCCCACAGGAGTTCTACGAGCACGCCAAGGCTCTGTGGGAGGATGAGGGGGTGCGCGCCTGCTACGAACGCTCCAACGAGTACCAGCTGATCGACTGCGCCCAGTAGTAAGTGGCCGCGCGGGACGCCGCGCCCGTGGCCCTGACCCCCGTCCGGAGCAGCGGCCGGCTGCCCCCACCCGCAGTTCGGCCGCTCCTCTGAGTCACGTCGCTCAGACCCTCCGCTGCACTCCCCAGGGCTGGGATGTGCTTTCACACAAACAATTAACGCCTGGTAGCCAAAATGGCAATTACTAAGGCGAGAAGATGATAGTCGTGATTAATTAGGGAGGCGGGGCAGCGCTCGCACTTGGGATAATGTAGAAATATCTCCTTGCTGTCATTTAAAACCCGGGAGAACCTGACAAAGGGATGCCTCCCTCCCCCGCCCCGGGAGCGGATAAAGGCTTTGCCGCTGCTGCGCAGGGCTGCGTTCGCACGCAGACCCGCGTGTTTCCCCCGGGGCCAGAACAACAGGCCCATCGCCGCCGTCCTTGGGACCCCCGCCCCCACCCCTCCTTCCACCGAGTCCTGATTTTCTCAAAAGTTTGCGCTAAGAGCTGGAAGTGCTAATTATAGTAACGCAAAACAGATGGAAATCCTGGAATTGTCCGCTCTGCGCTGGGTCCCAGGGAGCGGGACAGGTAGCGAGAGAGGGTCAGGCCCCGCCGTGCCCTCCGGGAGGGCGGGCCGCGCTCAGGGCGCCCTTTTTGCTTTGTTTTGTTTTGTTTTTTGTTTTCTTTTTTCTTTAATGCCACATTAACTTACTCCTGCAACTTTATCTGAAAGTGGCGCCGAGCCCACAGTGTATGGCAACTTTGAAGCAACTCTGGGAGAAAGAGAACTTAGCTGACAACTTGTAAAATGGCACCCCTGGCCGGAGGATCCCCGGGCCTGCGTGGGCCTGCGTGGGCCGGGCCCTGCCCGCCTCCGCCCGCAGTGCCTTCATGTTACAGTTGAGATACTGGTGCCTTGCCCATTTCTTAAGCTGCCTATTTTTATTTGTTGAACTGGGGTTTGGCTGGCCCGGCTCCAGCTGTCTCTCTCACAAGATTTGGTACTGATGAGCTATTTATAGAACTGTGGTTCTGTTGCCATGGCAACGCGCTGGCGGCCAGGGCGGCCGGGGAGCTATTTCTGGCCCGGCGCTGTAACGTAAGACTGATTGGGCAAGTCGGAGTGCCCTCCCAGCCCGGCCGGCTCGGCTGGCGAGGAGGAAGGGGAAAAAAAACTCGCAGAACTTCTTCCAGCAGCAGGCTTTTCCCCTCCGGGACTTTCTTTCCTGAGGGGCCCATGTTCAAGCCGTTCCAACGCCCCCGCCCCCACCCTGGGTGTAACATGAAGTTTTTATCCTGTTTTAGATCAGTTAAATTAGTCTGGTCTTTCAGAAGTCACTCTTCCTGGTCGTGCTTTGAGTGGAGCAAGGAGAGGGAGACGGGCCCCCTTCTCCACCCACGGCTCTCGGTCCCCGGGGGGAACCCCCCCCCAGGCCCGGCCCCCCGGCCCCCGGCCCGCTCGCGGCTGGCGCAGGACCCGCCGCCCGCGTGGCCCCGAGGTTTCTCCACACTCCAGATTTCACATCTGGACGCTCCTCGCCCGTGGGCCACACGGGCCGGAAGGGAGCGTTGTGAGCGTTTCCTGTGCAGCGTGGTCGCGCGGGCGGGGCCGCGTGCGCCCTCCTCCTCCTCCTCCTCCTCCTCCTCCTCCTCCTTTGTTGTCTGGGGCCCCCGAGGAGCTTAAAAGGGAGAAGGAAGGGCTGTCCCTCCGAGGAACGCAGCCGCCGCGTGCTTCCCACGGGCCCCTGGCGGGGAATCCACGCTGAAAGGCCCGCAAGTGCACAACCCGGCACAGGCCGAGCCCACGCCAGGCCACGCCACGGCGGGAGGCGGGAGGCGGGGGGCGGGAGGGGCGGGCCCGGGGGCGGTGCTGAGCGCACCGCTGTCCGTCTCTGTCCCCCAGCTTCCTGGACAAGATCGATGTCATCAAGCAGGCCGACTACGTCCCCAGCGACCAGGTACGCAGGCCAGCGGGGTTTCGAGGCCCCTCCACGAGCCCGCCGGGGCTTCGGCTCGGGACGGGCGGGCTTGACCTTGCTTTCGTTCCAGGACCTGCTTCGCTGCCGTGTCCTGACTTCTGGAATCTTTGAGACCAAGTTCCAGGTGGACAAAGTCAACTTCCAGTAAGCACATGGTTTTCTGTTCCCTGTGGCGCTCGGCGTGGGGGGCCGGGGTCAGCCCGTGGGGTGACCGCTGCCCCCCCTCCCGCAGCATGTTCGACGTGGGCGGCCAGCGCGACGAACGCCGCAAGTGGATCCAATGCTTCAATGGTAGGGGAGCCCGGGCCCCTCTCCCGTTTCGGGACACTTTGCTCTCGTAGTCGTGAGGGGTCGTGTTGGCCTCTGACACGCATCCCTGTGCTGTCCCGTGCCCTAGATGTGACCGCCATCATCTTCGTGGTGGCCAGCAGCAGCTACAACATGGTCATCCGGGAGGACAACCAGACCAACCGCCTGCAGGAGGCCCTGAACCTCTTCAAGAGCATCTGGAACAACAGGTGGGCGCGGGGGTCCGCCCGGCCCCGGGGGGGGGGGCTGTCACAGAGCAGAGTCTTGGCCACGTGCTTGGGCGCGTGGCCCCAGCCCCCCCCCCCCCCCGCCCGCGGCAGAGTGCGGTCCCGCTGGGCTGCAGCTCCGCTCCCCTCCCCGTCAGATGGCTGCGCACCATCTCCGTGATTCTGTTCCTCAACAAGCAAGACCTGCTCGCTGAGAAAGTGCTTGCTGGAAAATCGAAAATTGAGGACTACTTTCCAGAATTTGCTCGCTACACTACTCCTGAGGATGGTACGTAGGGCGTGGCACGCGTTCCGGCTGCTTGGCTGTTCCCACCTATTTGCATACGGAGAGACCCGAGAGGCGAAGGGGGGGTGGCCGTGGTGCAGGCATGCTGGCTAATTACCTTAAGTAACAAAATGTCTATCTCCTCCGTAGCTACTCCCGAGCCTGGAGAGGACCCACGCGTGACCCGGGCCAAGTACTTCATCCGCGATGAGTTTCTGGTGAGTAGAGACTGTCTTTAGCTCCCTCTCTGACTGCCCTTACTCTCAGGGGTGGGAATCGGCTTACTCCCACGTTTGGGGGTTAAACCATCCACTTTGGTTTTCTTTCGTGGGTAGCCCACGCGAACTTGAGCTCTCGGGCCCCTTCGCTGGGATTCGTGGTAACTTGTGACGCCGGTAGCTGGCGGAGTGTCCTTGGGGGGGCGGGGTTTCCAGCCAGGAGGCCTCTCGCTCACACCCGTGTCCGTGTCCGTGTCCGTGTCCGCCCCGCAGAGAATCAGCACCGCGAGCGGGGACGGGCGCCACTACTGCTACCCACACTTCACCTGCGCCGTGGACACCGAGAACATCCGCCGCGTGTTCAACGACTGCCGCGACATCATCCAGCGCATGCACCTCCGCCAGTACGAGCTGCTGTGAGAAGGGAACCCCGACTTTAATTCAAGCCTTAAGCACAATTAAAAATGAAATGTAATTGTACACGCAGTTAATCACCCACCATAGGGCATGATTGACAACGCAGCCTTTCCCTTCCCCCCTGAGTGATTTTGCGAAACCCCTCCCCCTTCCAGCTTGCTTAAATATTCCAAATTTAGAAAGCTTAAGGCGGCCTTCAGATAGATAAAAAGGCCACAATGGTTCCCTCTCTTTACGTAATTAACAGCAGCAAACAGAAATCATTAAATGAATTAAATGAAATAAATATTGTCTTGTGCAGCATTAAAAATCAATAAAAAATTAAATGTGAGCAGTTTGCGACTCCGATGCGTTATTTGCGGCGGGTTTCACGCCTGGGCGGTCGGTCGCGGTGTCGATGGCCTCAAAGGGTGGGCGGCCCCACGTTGAGGCGACAAGGGCCAGACTCATAAGTGGGCGTAGGAATCCGGCCCCTCTCTCGACCTAATCTTTGGGTTCCTGAGACACTCGGCAGACAACAGGAAGCACCCACCCCCTCCTCCTCCTCCCAAACAAGGCCCAGGGGGAAACCACTAGGCCCTTCCAGAATCCTGTACTTGGGTCCTTGGTGCCCCCCCAGAGATCCTCTCAGCCCCGCACCCCAGGGTGTCCGTGTACCCAGAGTCTCCCCGAAATAGGTGGTGGTAGCAGGAGCTATCACAAAAATGGAAATGGTATTAAAATAACTGGCTGGCTGTTTGGGGGAAATTTTAAGGTGGAGCCCTGCCTCATTTCATACATACATCAGTCAATCACATGTTTAAATACAAAAAGGTGCTTTAAAAATGGCTATGTTTACAAATAAAATCTCGTATAAATCTTCAAGCATGAGCTACGATCCAAAAGCCACGGACGAGAGAACGGGGGGGAGGGGAGGACCATACAAAATATAAACCACATAAACTATGAACGGGGGCGGGGACTGGATCAAAATCTGTCCCAGAGGGTTCATTTCCCTCATTAGCAAGAAGAATAAGCAAACCCATCACAAAAATGGGCAAAACACATGAACAAACAATTAAAATACATTGGGAATGTGGAACCCGCACCATAAGTGAAATGCAAATAAAATCTGCGCCTTGTGGGAAGGGAGTGGTCGTTGGCACCCACAGGCCCCCCAAAGCCCCTTAGGTTGCCACTTGGACTTGAGGTCCACTTGGGTTCTCTAGCCCTTCACCCCCAGGGTCACCCCTTGGTGCCCACCCGTGGTGTGGCTTCCCCAGGTGGGTGGGTGGTTGGGGGGAGACCCCAGCTTGCTTCCGTGTCAACCACTGCACCTTCTGCCACGGGCCCAGTGGGACGTGAACCAAGTCCATTCTATAATCCAGGCCAAATGTCCACCCCCTGCCTTCCAAATCACACCAACCCTAGCCAAGTAAACTGTCGGCAACATGAGCCCCAAGGAGGGCAGAAAAAGTCCCAAACACACCATCTCCACAAACCTCCCTGTATCATATCCAGTCCACGTAAAGACTGTGCGCCTGCTTGTGGGCTAGGCCACAGAACAGCCCTCAAACCCCCCCCCCAACCCCAGCTCTGGCCGGGGAGCTCAGTGGGTTACAGCGCCATCAGGACACTCCAGGGTTGCAGGCTCCATCCGGGTCAGGGCACACACAGGGATCAACTGATGAATGCGTGTCACATGGAACAAATCGATGTTTCCCTTTCTCTCAAAAAAAATTCATCAATTTTTAAAAACCCAGCCCAAATTAACATATAATCTACATAATTGCTTACTATGCAAATATAGTCGGAAGACCAGCCCACAAATTCCCATAATCCCACGAAGTATCCAAAAAAACACACAACTAATTAGAACCTGAGACCGGCTGTGAGGTGTAACCAGCAGACCAGCCGACCACGCAGACACCCACCCACCCAAGGAAAGGCTACGCTGGCAGAAAACAGGTTCAACGCTGGTCCATAGTCCCTCTTTCCAGCTGACCACCTGCATGCCACGTCTCCGTAGAACTTCTGGAACCTTCTCTGAGTAGTCCACATAAGGTGGCCACAGCACTAGCCACATATCCACCAAAATTAGAAAAATGTCAAGGCCACGGTTATACCAAGAGAATGATACCCCAGGTGCTCCCTCTTGCTGGTCTAAACCGGCGGTGATGATGGGGTGGGGGGGAGGGGCAGAGGGGGAGGGGCTCCCCCTTCCCACCCACTCCGAGGGTAGCTGTGAGGCCACCTCCAGTCGCCCCTTTGTGTCCGAGGGTCCCTTCCCTTCCTCAGGATCCATCCCTCCTCTCTGAACCGTTTTCATTTCCGTTTGCCCTTTGACCCGGTACCAAACCAAACTCTCACAGGGCTACTCTAAACTCTAAACGCTAGGGTCTTCAGCAAGCCAAGAAATTATGGAGAATTACATCGAAATCTTTGATTATAAGAAGACATTAGTTTTAATTTTTTAGTTGAATTTTACCTCTAGTTGAATGCCAAAACAACATATTTTTCTAAATGTAAGAATTTGTGCCATACTTTGTAAAGTGTATGGGCCAGTTATTATAAATAACCATTCACTGACCTTTTAAAGAAATTAATAATAATAATAATAATAATAATAATAATAATAAACAATCACTAAGCCCCCTGACGAGGCCTAATATGAGGAGGGCCTAGCTAGACTGGGCAGAATTCTTACCCACCTTCCCTTTTATTTAAATGTGAGCAAAACTGTATCAGAAGAAATGCCCCTTCTAGGTCAAGTGGCATTCTTTTACCATAAAGCATGTGGGTTTGGGGGATACTTTTGGTCGTTTTATTATCCAACGACTGTGGAGAGAACACAGAACCTGTGCCAGCCGCTGGGCCGTCTGCTCCCTGGGGTTCACCCCCTGCCGGGGAGACAGGCACTTCCCCAATAAATCGTCAAAAGAAATACAGATGGTGGCGAGGTCTCTGAGCTCGTAAACAAGCTGGGGACAACAGGGAGTGGGAGAGATCGGGGAGAGGTTCCACTTTAGACAGAGTAGCCAGGGGGGCCTCTGGGAGGAGGTAACTTTTCTTGAGGAAGTACAAAGATGCGGAGGAGCTGGGCATCCAAGTCCAAGTAGCCAGCAGTGCTTTCGATTAATATCAGTTATTGAAACCTGAGCACGCGCGTTTATGGAGCGCTTTCCCGGGTGCCAAGAGCTGTCTTGGGCCTCGATAAGGGTTGTCTCACGCAGCCATGTTGAACCCCTACGAAGAGGTGCCCTAACTATCTGGCCCAGGCGTAGCCAATCCGTACCCCACTGTGCAACAACAAAAAGAGATAAATTACATCTAAAACGTGGTGAATAACTCATGCAAGTTAGTCGTTTAACAATGGTTGCACTAAAAGGCCACTGCAATCAGCACTAATGTGAGTAACGGCTCCCCACTTTGCTCCCTGTGTTGGAGCCGAGGGACCTGGCGTCTCTACCGTGATTGTCCTGCGTCTGCACATTCATGTACATGAGCGCCTCAGCTTCCTGGTTTTGCCCGTCTCATTCTCTGTCTCAGTCAGGAATGCGTTTGGCTGCCGATAACCGAACGTGGACTTGGAGTGGCCCAGAAAAACAGGCTCATGTCTCATTGACCGAAAATTCCGGATGCAGGTGCCCCCGGGGTGACTTCAGCAGCCCCTCAAAGGCAGGGCCAGCGCTGCCACGACTCCCTTGGCTTCTCTCTCACCGCTGTAAGAGGCATCGCGTCCTTAGCCTGAGGCTAGTGCTCTTCCTTCTCTCCAGCACCGAGAATAGACAAAGATACCCAGAGAGCAGGATCAGGAGGTAGATGGTTAGATACACAGCTAGCTAGGCATACAGAAAAACATCTACTCGATAGCACTATTCCACACATGTGAGGATTTATAATTTGGATCTTGATGGAACATCAAGGAAAATATGTGCAGTGCCTGTAGTTTGGAAGGATTAGGGGAGATAATAGATTTTTTAAAAAAAACCCTTTTGAATAATAAGAGACTAATTTGTATGATTCTATATAAATCAGTTTGAAAGCCTGGAGAAAATAGATAATTGTCACCCTGGCTGGTGTAGCTCAGTGGATTGAGCTCGGGCTGCGAACTAGGCATTGCAGGTTCGATTCCCAGTTAGGGCACATGCCTGGGTTGCAGGCCATGGCCCCCAACAAACGCACATTGATGTTTCTTTCTCTCTCTCTCTCTCCCTTCCCTCTCTAAAAATAAATAAAAATAAAATATTTTTAAAAATTATTTTAAAAATAGATAATTGTCCAGAAAATACTGAAATACTGTTGATCAAAATCAACTCCAGTGGAGACAAAAACAATCTAAGCAGACCACTTATCATAGGAAAAAAAATACAGAACATACTTGGATAGCATCATGATAAAATAGCCCCAGGCTGTTTTGGGGTGGGAAGCCAGAAGGAAGCATGAGGGAAATTTCTGCAGTGCTAGTGCCTGCTTACTCAGCATTTAGATTATGAAACACGTTCCATTTGAGAACATTCATTGAACTATAGGCCAATAATTTGTGCAGTTTTCAGTATGTATATTATACTTTAACTTTTAAAAGAATGAGAAGGAGGAAAAAAGGCATCAGGCCCACATAGTTTTATAGGGGATTCTACTAAATCTTTAAAGATCAAATAATGTCAGTACTACTTAAATTATTCCAGAGTAAAGCCAAAGGAAAAGTTCAACATTATTTTTGTGAAGCAAGTATAACATTGATTCTAAAACATGCTAAAGATTGCATCTAAAAGTAAAATTACAGACCAGCCTCACTTATATCACTATGAAAATTTTTAAATGTAAGCAAGCAGAATACATTAGATTTAAAAGATAATATATCATACCTAGATAGGATTAGATTTATTCTATGAATTCAAGGCTGATTCAATATTAGCAAAACATTAATATTTGCCAAAATTTAATACCCATTTATAGTTTTAGAAATCCAATAATATAGTAATTAATGAAACTTTAATATAATGACTATGTAACACATAAGTATACTATGTATAACATACATTTACATATAATTTGTATAGTACAATATATATACACATATAATATGTACATAATATATATTTTTCTCTAATAATCAAAATTTTACTTAATGAGGAACCTCTAGAAACTTTTCCAATAAGGTCAGAAATAAGAAACAAAAAAGACAGGGATGCCTCATATCGCCGTATTACATTTATCATTGTATTGGACATATAAGTCAATTCAATTAGACAAAAGAAAGCAATTAGCCTGATAATTAGAAAAGAAGAAGTAGAACTATCCTTTACTGCAAATGATATAATTAAATATCATGATTTCCCCAAAACATTC